GAAAATAGCATCAGATTGGGATCAGCGGACACTAAATTGCTAATGAATCCTCAATTGACATAAATGGATGTTGACAAATGAGGCGGTGTAGGGAGTGGGATTTGGATTAGTTGGGTGTGGTGAGGTTTGTGTCCCTCATTTTTAGATGAAGCTGATTTATATTTCTGTTTTTTTATTTTTGTTTTCAGTCACTGTGTGCAGCTTGGCAACAAAATGAATGGACTCGCTCTGACACTGCCACAAGCTGACCTGGTGGTCTTGTTCTGGAATAGCTGGACTCTATTAAGGTCATTCTTATTTGCTGCAGATGTGATAACACTAAATGAATCAGTAATGGGGAGATAAGTGGCAACAGAGATGCATTTCTCTATTTTCTACACCATACTGTCAAAATGCTTCGACCATTAAGATAGCACTCCAGCCTTTTTCCCAGTAATCTGACTTTTTTTCTCCCAGTTTTGAGGCCCCCTACTGGGAGATGCAATCCAATGTGTCGGTTAACCTTCATCTGCTTCCAATCATTGCAGGTTTTAAAATGAGGATCTTTATTTAAAAAGGATGAGAAGAAAAATCTGAAAATGAAGCCTTTGCTGGGCTGTTAGTTTCCAACACTCCTCACTGATCAAAGGGCAGTTTTTTTTTAAAAAATCCGCCTCTTTTAAGGCAAATTCTGATTTATTACAACTGCAATGCTACATTAGAACTCATCAGAATTATTGCTGAGGCCCGAAAAACAAAAGTCAGATACAGCAAGAAACACATCCAGACACATGATCAGTTAGACGGTGAGCGAGCCAGCGGGTTGTCTAAAGCACTTAATCTGGAGGTAAAACTCGGCGCACGGAAACCGGCGGCGATAATTGCAGAAAAAACGCAGGAGGGAAAGAAAGGAGGAGATAAAGCTGGAAGTAGGTCTGTAAACCGTGATGGATGTTTGGGTAATAATTCACAATTTGTGGGCTGCTTTCTCGGCCAAATAAGGAGTAAACTGGGATCCTTCTACCAGGTCTGATTATATGACTGAGTTATTTGGCTTATTCTTGAACCCACAAGTCACATTATTATCCAATCCTAAACTTTAAACGAAGATGTATTTAACCCTAATTATCCCACATTTTCTTGTTTCAGTCTTTGACCCGGTCGACGTACCTCTCCGTCTTTGGACTCCAGTCGCAGCTCGTTCCTGCAGATGGCCTGGATGTCTCCGGCCTCGGCCAGGATCTGGATGCCTTTCGGGGCCTCCATCAGCAGGGAGCGAGTGGGAGACTCGAGCCTGGGAACACAAAGAGGCACAGCAGCTCCGTTAGCTTTAAATATTTGGATGACAAAGAGCTGGGAAGCAAGATAAGAAAGCTGGAGCGGCGAATGCACCCACAGCTTGTTTTTGTTGATTCGATGTTGCAGAAAAGTTGAGCTGCTTCCATTTTTATCAGACGGACTAATTAGACTCTGTGAAGGTCTTTTAAATGGAATTCTGAAGCAGCCCGTTTTCACATTTTAGCAGTCTGAGTTGTTTTTGAATGTACAGTTGTGTAGAATTATATAGAGGTAAGAAATCCAGCTTTGTTAACCAGTCGTAGAAATCTGAACCTTTGAAGGCAGATTGAAGCTACATTTGTGGTAGACTGACATGCAAATGTCCACAAAGTTGTTATTCTAACCCACACAGGTTGTTGTAAATCAGCTGCAGACACAACAGCTCTTATGTCAGCATCTTTCTTCATTTGCTGGGACATTAAGTCAGCTGAATATGACATCTGGTGGATTGATATGAAAATCGATAGTAACCGGGTAAAAAAACACAACAACAACAAACCCGAATAAATGCATAAATGATTTGACGTCCACATTTGGGCAAAGGAAGGCAAAAGAAGGCAAAAGAAGGCTGCTTTTCTCTGGTACTTTGACAGTTTATGATGTATTTTGATCGAAACAAATCTGGATTTGTGAGAAACCAGCTGCTGTTCTGGGAAACAGTTAAGATTTCTATGTATTTTATGTCAGTGTACAGGTCGTTTTTCTTTTTCTTAAAAACCTTTTTGGCATTTGCCTGATACGTGATAGCTGATATGGAAAAAGGCAGAAAGTGGACAACATGCAGCGTCGTTCCCAGTTTGGAAAGAAACCCGTTGGTATTCGTCTACCAGCCGTCATTGGATGTAACCCAGCAAATACAGATAAGTCTGAAAATCTGTGACCACATTGAAAATCTGTCATAATGAGATATTGGAGGCCTCAAAATCTGGGAAAATATTGACCACTGACTGTATTCTTAGTAGGAAATATGAGAAGAAATATATAGACATACTTAAATGAACTTTCTAGGGCAATAGAAAAGGCTTCGTCTTTGGAAAATGTTGCACGTTTTTCCATTTTCTGCTTCTACTTTTATCACATTCATTACTCATTGTTGTTATTTTGAGGCATTCTGGACAAATTTTGAGGAATTTCAGACAGGTTTAAGTCAAAATAGCAAAAAACTGGAACCCTGTCGAGCCATACTTGTCACACATCAAATTCTACTGATGTTAGAGCCTCAAAAGTTGGTGGAGTGTCGACCAAAGACTGTATTTTTAGTAGGAAACATGGAGCTATAGAGGAACTTTCTGGAGCCCCGATAGCATTATTGTTTGAAAATGTTGAACTTTATTCCAATTCCAAGGGGCAATAATTAAAATTCAGCCTCCTCTGTAGCCACTTAATCATTAACCTGTACACCATAAACAAAGCTGCCTGGGTTTTCACCAAAGATACTGCAGATATTGAGCCCTTTATTCCTAAATAAAGTGTTTTTTAAAGGTAAAAATACAAAACCTCCAGGTCAGAAAACATGAAATTCTTAAAATTCGCCCAAAAATATTTTGCAGAAGTTTTGGGTCCCGAATAACAAACAAGTAAACTTGTACTGACACGGACGGACTCAGATTGGTATCGACATCCAGTCATAACCAAACCTCAACTTAAACCTGAAACTCAACTCTAAAAAAGTCTCACTCACAGCTGCTGCCAAACTTTCCAAACTTCCCCTCGTTCTTAACATTTGAAACTCAAACTGATCCTCAGTAAAGCAGAAACACAAGCAGACACTCTGAAGCCTCGGCCATGAGTGGAGTGCAAACTGAGTGGATCTGACACTTGAACACTGCAGCCCACCTGCGTGAAGCGTCTGCTCACACATTTCCGTACGAGGATTTAAAGATCGGCCCACTCACTTCACGTCTTGACAAAACCACTCAGGGCCGCCAGCCGATCTTTACGGCGAACGCTTCCGACCGGCTGAGGAGCTCTCCGAAGGCTCCCTGTCTTCCTGTCACCACGCTCGGCTGTGGATAAAATACGTGATGTTTTCTCCACGGGGAAGGTTTTCATTGATGCCACGCATGACGCATTCAGCTGCAGGATGGAAGCTTTTGTTCTGATTGAGGAGCGACGAATGAAGACGCAGTAAAGGCATCAGTCATCTGCTGCTGGTGTCCTGGCTGCGTCGTTTCTGATGATTTTGGCCTATTTATTGAGCAGGGACTCTCAATCTTGTAGAAATCTTTTATTTATTTGCAGTTTCTTGGTGGTGATGCATCACCACCGCCCAGGTGTTGGATTCCCAAACGGATCTACATTAACTGAGAGCCTTTCTTTGACCTGCAAAGTGAGAAAAACCGTCAAATCTGGACGTCCATGTAGTACTTCATGATATTCTCAAGGTAAAATTCCAATAAACTCCTCTCCTAAAGTCTTACACAAACACAGAGTTGCACTTTTAAGCCTTTGCATGTTCTTGAACAGCTTCCTAAAGCTTAATAACAACAATGAATCACATGTTGTAGCTCATTCCTGGTGATGAATTGTCGCTCCCCTCGGCTCTTATTCAGGTTTAAAGTGTGCAGCTGTGGTTTTTCTAACCTGCAGCTTTACTGTCTGCTTCCATCAGCCTGTTTTTATAGCTAAAAAATAATAATAAGTGCAAAAAAAGAACACTCACATGGTTGCTCGTCTTTTTAACCAACAGATTTATGGTCAACTAGCTAAAAAAAAAACATTTTTACTGCAGGTTTCCTTTTCTTCGTTTTCCTTTTTTCTCAAATACCGGACAAACTAATGCACAGGAACAACTAGTATGTGCTTTTTCTAAATAGCTGCATCCTCAAACACACTCTGAAACAGCACCTCCAGCTAGATTCTGTTCCTGCATTCACAAGTTGTTGCAGTCACATTGGTGTTTAGCAGCATAAAGTTTCACTTGCAATAAACACGATGATAAAAGCTCAGAATAAAAAACACCCACAGCAACATCATCTGAAGTAGCTGAACTGTCACAAAAAGGGAAGAAAGCTAACACTGGGCTCAGATATTGTTAGTTTAAACGGTTGCTCATCTTTTAACCAACAGAAGCGGCACAGAATTGTAGTCGACCTTCAAAACGTAGCAGGAAAAATCCACAAAAACAGAAATTCAAGCTAAACTCTGCTTCTGCTTTTACGAGCTTTTGCTTCCTTGCAGCTGCATGATTGTGTTTTGCTTAAAACTTCACTTGCAATAAACACGGTGATTAAAACCCAGAATAAGAACAAAGCTTTTGGTCCCACAGCAGCAGTGATGCACAAAGTGCAAACGGCAGATCTGTCGTAAAAAAAAAAGGGATAATAAGGGAAGTAAGTGAGTGTCGGTATTGCAAGTTGACAAGAAACAAAACCTATGTGCAAGAAGACGAGCAGCGGAAAGAGCCAACTGTCTTTCTGCTAACGTAATCCCCTGCTGCGTGCTGCTGTCATTCTCTGAATTAGTTTCTGGCACCTTTTATTGAACAAATTCCCCAAAGTGTCGACCCAGAGAGTGAAGACAGGTGCAGTACAGTAGCAGCAGTAGTTGCGTAGTACAGTAGAAAATGTTGAGAGAAAAAAAACCCAGAAGCAAACTTCACTTTAGTTTTAGGGTTCAGTGTCAGTTTATCTTTCAAGAGAAGGAACCGAAACGGAATTGTAGGTTGTAGAAAGTCTTCATTCTAGATGTTGGTAAAGCAAAAATATCTTCCCAAAGCAATGCACTACCTGGATTTAAATGCCTTAAATGTTCGACTGGACTGTAGAGAAGGTGCCCATGTGTGGCAGGTTCTTTAAGAGTGAATGAGCAGAGCAAGGCAGGTCTATATACATACATGCTCAGGCGACCAATCAGGCGAGAACACAGGTGGAAATGATCGGTCAAACACAAGCTGCACCACTAACACCAGCAGAGCTATGCTGGCCAGACCATCAAAGAAGCAGAAAAACCTCCAGGAACCTTCGGAGGAACCTGTGCCTTCAGAAAAGTTAGCTGCAAAAAGAAAAGCTTCATAAAAGGACCTTGGTGTGTCGAGAGTCTCTAAGATTTGCATTATTTCCCCAGTTTTGTAAAGAGTCTTAGGTTAATTTTAGGTTACTCACTGCAGGATTTAGAGACTGTTTTTGCATCTACGATATTGTCTAATACATTTTTTCCCTCATGTTGTGGCAAAAAACCTCTGAAAACATAATAATGATAACGACAATGAGTTCACCAGAAAATATGAAGAACTCAGATGGTTCCTCGAGGCTGTCAGCCTTGTTATTTATCATCAAAACAAAGCAATCTGCTTTTATTCAATACAGGTTGAAATATTGCAAAAAGAAAATAACTAAAGCAAAGTGTAAACTTCACAAAACTCTATGAAAGAACCCTCCAGGAACTAATTTCGAGCTGCTAGAGATTCCTCAGGCGACCTCCAGGTTTCTGCAGGAACCTCCCAGAACAATCAAGGTTCCTTAAATATTCAGTTCTTTGAGGTTCTTCTGATTCTAAGACGGTCGTAAATGGATTCTGCTTGTCAAAAGACATTTTATTTTAACTCCACAAACCCAGAAAAAAACAGCAGCATGTGATGAATTCGACAGCCTCAGTCATAAATGCAAAGAATATACGGAATAAACCACAAAACGGTCACAAAAAAAAAGCTCCTCTTCTCATTAAGTCCTGTGTATTTCACAGCTTTAAATTTCCAGATCCAAGACGTTTCATGTTAAACTTCAATACGTCGCCCCCACGCAGACGTCTGTATAATCTCAAAGCCCCGGATCTTTGAGGACGGGGACCCGCTGCGTTTCACCTCTTTATCCACGCAGGAGTCTTCATTATTGACACAGATCACATGTCTGTGTTCAGAACGAAGCCGCTCTTTAAACTTTCTTTTGGTCCGAAACCGCACAGAAGCACCTGCACGAACACAGCAGGCCAAACACAACAAACAAATGATCTTCTGTT